CTCTCTCTCTCTCTCTCTCTCTCTCTCTCTCTCTCTCTCTCTCTCTCTCTCTCTCTCTCTCTCTCTCTCTCTCTCTCTCTCTCTCTCCCTCTCTCTCTCTCCTCTCTCTCTCCGTCTCTCTCCATCTCTCTCCCTCTCTCTCCATTTCTTTCTCTCTCTCCATCTTTCTCTCTCTGTATCTCGTTGCTAGTGAGGAGCATGTGAGCACTGTTGCTGCGTGGGCTCGCTCGGGGAAGGAGGAGCTAGAGCGGATGATAACTCCGACGATGGTAGAGCGCATAGCCACCTTCCTCTGCATGGCAAGTGTCCGCAATATCTTTTCCGGTCACGGCGTGCGCGCGGCTTTGCGCACGATCATCCTTCTCATTCGCACGTGACGTGCTTGCATGAACGTGAATCCGTATTCGATATGGACGACCGTAACATTTTTCTCTGCGTTTCGTCTCTCGCACGAACTAATCCGTTTCTAAGCTTTCGTCTGCTTTTCGCTGCGCACGTAACGAATGGACCCGCTGTAATAATAATTTCGTGATTTCATAAAAGACGAGATTTCATCGTTCTCTTGTATGTTTTCAACGTTCTCTCGTTGGCTCTAACGCATGCAGTAGACAGTATGAGATTTCTAACGTTCTATTGTCGCCGGTAACGGATGCAGCAGACTCTTCTCACATTATTCGCGATCGTCGTCTGCCGTTGACGACGCGGGTTGTTATTGTGTTGCTAGGATACATGAACACTGACACTATCTGCGTTACTGTTGTTCTGTTGCTAGGATACGTGCGTTGCTATATGCATCTTGCTATTCGTGTTGCTAGGATACGAACAACGCTGACAGCGTCTGTGTGTTGTTGTCGCGTTGCTAGGATACGTGCAATGCAGACAGCATCTGCGTGTTGTTGTCGTGTTGCTAGGATACGTGCAACGCTGACAGCGTCTGCGTGTTGGTGTCGTGTTGCTAGGATACGTGCAACGCTGACAGCGTCTGCGTGTTGTTGTCGTGTTGCTAGGATACGTGCAACGCTGACAGCATCTGCATGTTGTTGTCGTGTTGCTAGGATACGTCCAACGCTGACAGCGTCTCCGTGTTGTTGTCGTGTTGCTAGGATACGTGCAATGCTGACAGCGTCTGCGTGTTGTTGTCGCGTTGCTAGGATACGTGCAACGCTGACAGCGTCTGCGTGTTGTTGTCGCGTTGCTAGGATACGTGCAACGCTGACAGCGTCTGCGTG